TCATTAAGTACGAACTTATAAATGTGTAATCCTGATGTCTTGCCTCTGGAGATTGAACTGTTTTGGAAATCTTCCCTTGGATATTTTAAATGAAAGGAATTCTCATTTAGAGTTATAATAAGCGTTGGCATCTGCTTCACAGCCTAGAGTTGCAAAACCCAAAAGCATTTAAACATTACAAAAAAAAAAAAACCCTCCAAAGTCTTCAAGATGTTAGATGGGACGGCTCTTGCAAATAAATTAGCCTGCAACACGCTACCAGCTGGTCCAGAGGGCTCTTGAAGTTCTGCTTGATCTCTCCGGGATCCATTAGGCATGTTATACAGATAAGCACAAACACCTGCAAACAAACCTTGGGAATTACATGCTTTTGTTGTCTTGTAGTGACGCATAGGCCTGTGTTCATGAGCATGTGTTGATTATAGGGATAAAGGACAGTACCTACAGACCCTGCCACTGCAGGTCTGAGCAGGCTATCATCGGCAGCAGCCCTTTTTAACCCTCGTCACAACAATCAATCAAAGTCAGCTTCCAGATGTTCATGTCTCAAAGTGTAGTCTGGGCCATTATAAAACCCTGTAAACATGTTAGCACATGATCAGACTTTAATGATAATGTGGCACCATAGTTTGTCATAGGGCCTAACAGAGGTCATTTAGTCCTTGGCAATAAAACGAAGGGAGTGGGGATAATGTAAGTGCGAGTTGTTCAGGTCCGTTTTGCATTTTTATTGGGACCAATCAAACGTACATAATTTCAAACAAGTTACCCCTTCTCAACCGTCTTCCACTGTTTGATATTTTTACATCAGAAAATGACACCCATTGGCTTTAAAAATGTTCGGTTTTTGTTTGAGATTGTTAACCAGGGAGTGTGTATTTGCACACTGTTGGAGTGCACGTCTGAGTTTCGGATGTGTAATGGGAGGTCTGGAGTCTCAGGGACAGCTGGGAATCTACTCAGGGCTGTTTATTTCCTTCTGTTAGATTCCTGACTGTCAGTAGAGCTGCCAGTCCCCCAAAACCATGCAACATACCTCTCTTAGGCAACTCAGGATCAATACCAAGCCCTACTCAACTTTAGACTTTCGTTATGGCACTCCGGGATACCAGTGGTTGATTATCTCTTTTTAACCAGTCTATCTTCACATTATCTGGTTTCTCTAGACTGCAATTAAGGTACCGTAAACATCCCTAGACCATTACAGCATCATGTGTCTTTGCCTTTTAGGACCTGCACTCTCATACCTAGTATCGAGGCCTGGGAACACACAAGGAGACAAAAGCAGTTTAAGAGGTATGGAGTAACAAGGGTAAAGTTACACTAGCAGAGAACAAACTGCACCACCATAATAGATGAACCCCCTTCCATACTGCACAATGGAAATGGTCTTCCAAACAGGAGTTCTTTTGATATTCTGATTGTGATGTCATGGTCACTAGTTGCCATTCTTACAGTGAAGGCTTGACAAATGTAGACCTCAACACCTTCACAAGCACGTCTCAATTGGAGTATGTGAATTTCTGTCCTCTTGCTCTCCTAGATCCAGCATGGCATCACGAGAATCCTGGATACCAGGAGCTGACGGCTGTAGTCACTGAGGTTTCTGCCCCAAATCGGGAAGGTCCAGCGGACATCTCAGGTGAGTCACACCTAGCCTTTCACTCAAAAGTGACACGATCCAGTAAATGTCCTCCGACACTGTCAAAGCATGTTGATGTATAAATACATCATGCCCCTACATCTCAGCTGCCTGAAAAAAATGACACTGTGCACATAGTATTCATTCCTGCTGACAGCACGGACACAAATACTGCTATTTTTACCAATTCATTTGCGTCTAAAATAATCTAGTTTATAAAAGGAGCTGTACATGTTTAGTAAGGCTCCAAAATGGTAATGCGAATCACTTGATAGGACCATGTTTCTAAACAAAGATATCAAGGTTCAGGTTGTTCCCAGGAAGTCCTTTGAATTCTGCCAACCATCCCTTCCCCCAGTACCTCTCTCTTACAGGGTATTTTAGGAAAGTGTAAGTTATGCTTCTAATCTTTTACACTCAAAGGAATGGTAGGACAAGGGGTCCTCTCTTTCACCTTTAGCAGATTTTGGTTTGATGGGATTTCCTTGCAACCTGTCACTGGTTCCATGTGCAATCTCATGTTAAAATCATTTGGTTCTCCAACAATTGTCCAATCTCTTGATTTTTCAGGCTGTGGTGATCTGGTGTGGGTACAAGAGCCTGAGGTGCACCGCAAGGCTGACAGCATTGCTGGTAAATACGGTGTCTGGATGCAAGACCCAGAAGCTAAAGAACCTTATGGTCCAGAGATGGTGTGGCGCATAGATGCTGTAGGGTCTGAAGTGCGTCAACTCTTCGGCTATGAAAACATGGACCAGCTGTCACGTGGCTTCCCCACTAAAGTTCTCCTCTTGCCAGAATCTATGGAGAGCACAGGCGCCACCATGTACAGAGGCTCCTTGTACTACCAACGGAGGCTCAGCCGCACCCTTCTAAAATACGATCTACTCTCTGAGAGTATTGCTGCCCGCCGTGATCTTCCCCATGCTGGCTTCCATGGCCAATTCCCGTACTCCTGGGGAGGGTACACAGACATTGACCTGGCAATAGATGAGAATGGTCTATGGGCCATATACAGCACCAACAAAGCCAAGGGTGCTATTGTCATCTCCCAGCTGGACCCTCACAACCTGGAGGTGAAGGGCACCTGGGAGACTAAAATCCGCAAGACATCCGTGGCTAATGCTTTTATGATCTGTGGCAAGCTGTACACTGTTGCTAGTTACACCTCACCAAACACCACCATAAATTACATGTATGACACCGCAACCAGCCAGGGTAAAACAATCTCAGTGCCGTTCAAAAACCGCTATCGCTACAACAGCATGGTAGACTACAACCCAGCGCAGAGAAAGCTATATGCTTGGGATAGCTTTTACATGGTATCTTATAATGTGAGACTAGGCAAGCAGGAGTAAAGTGAAGACATCAGCGTAAATTTCCATATCACCCAGCTTATAGATGCATTTTGTAATGTTTTAATATTTTACCATCTGGAGGGACAGCTATTTTTGGATTTACTGGAATTCAAGACAATGATAGACAACTGGACAAGAATCAACTATAATTATGCTGATGACATTATTCCTAGCACCAGCAGTAGGTATATATATAATGAATACAGCAAATATAAAATTTTCCTGATCATATTCTTTTAAGCACAGACTTCTATATAGACTGTTATTTTCAAGACAACAGACAGTAAACATACCAGTGACAACATTGCACATCTTCACATTAAAACAATTTCTATTTTTGCATCTTTAAATGCTATAAAAGATATTCCTTTGACTAACAAATTCCAAAATGGATATAGAGTATACCAGGTTTTTAATAAATTGAGGCCACATTTACGTCCTCAGTGAGTTTGTCCACTTAACATGTTAATAGAGAAATTATTTTTCTACTTTTTAAGTAATGTCTTGTCATTTTTGTTTACACGGCACTGAACAATTCAAGGAAGGGGGAAAATATAATGGCATACAATTCATTACAATAGGCCTGCCTCTTGATTGATAGATTGTACAGAGGTATGCAACATTAAAAATCAAAAACTTTGCTTGTTGTGTACATGCTCTAATCCTTACGTAATCATGCTATCGTAACTCTGTATATGTTGAACATTTTCCCTTCTCTCTTTTGAATTAGCTTGGAAAGACTTGGGTGCTGCTTGAGATGTTAAGATTGGAATCTTGTGGCTATGGAAGTGTATTAACTTATATGAAAATAAAGATTTAAAAAGTCTGCTTTTCTTCCGTTTTGCATACATGCACAGAGGTATTTTAATGAACTTATTACCTCAAAACCAAAAAACTGACATCCCAACCACAGCTCATTTTTACAGCATATTATTTTATTAGTTTCTGTAACCAAACCAGGAGAATGTAAATAAGACCTTACATATTTTAATACAGCGATTTAACCCCTGTACAAGTAAAACAAAAACCGAAATCAAAAGAAAAGAAAAAAAATAAATTCCCTCTCCTCCCCTTCTGTTTGTGGTTTCTCATTCCTACTAAACAAGAAATGGGGGGCCGTACTGAAACCCTTGTTCAACTGCAGGCCCCTTCTTTGCAAAAGCAACCCAAGAGGAGTGGTTTGGAGAAAGACCTTATATACTCAGGCCTGTGGTCACCGTACAGAGTAGTCCAAAACGTGGTAATCTCTGTTCAAGACTCATCACTTTTGCCCCATACCCCCCACTGAGTCTGGCAGCCTCACACTTGATGTCTCTCTTCTAAACTTGCAGCTACGCTCTTTAGCACTGAACCTAAATTGCTTGACCACTCACCCCAACCCAAACCTCGCCCCTCCTCTGCAGTGATTGGTCAGGAGAGTCAGAGCTGGTCAGCAGCATGGTTGGGAGCTGTGTGGAGAGGCTGGAAGGTGAAAGAATGGAGTTATAGAAGTGGGCGTGTCTACATCTGTCTTCGTTCACTGAAAAGGGGAGGGGCTTAAGCTTAGGACACATCAAACATAGGCCTGGTCTGGAGAAACAGTTTACAAAAAAAGAAAATATTCCATCATAATTCTACTATCTGTTGACCAAGCTGAGCCATCTTTGTCAAAATCATATATATTCATCTTAAAAGGATACAGGTCTCTTGACGCCTAACCTTTGGCTAAAGATTCAAGGGTATTTTGCACACACGCAAACACACAATTTTCGATTCTTGAGACTGAGAAGGCAAGAGGGAAGGCTCACAGTGGAGACTGCAATCGATAAATTAATTGGATACATCGGTAATCAACTCCTAATCTGCTGAAATAATGTTCTATGTATTAAGGCCAATACACATGGTTGAAGTCAAAGTAAGTGTGAGTGCCGGTAATGTTGAGAGAGGTGTACACACACACACACTATAAAAGGTATGCGAGTGTGTGTGTGTGTGTGTGTAGACATTTCATTACTGCAATCGATAAATTAATTGGATACATCGGTAATCAACTCCTAATCTGCTGAAATAATGTTCTATGTATTAAGGCCAATACACATGGTTGAAGTCAAAGTAAGTGTGAGTGCCGGTAATGTTGAGAGAGGTGTACACACACACACTATAAAAGGTATGCGAGTGTGTGTGTAGACATTTCATTGTATCTTTATCGCTGTAATTGAAACGTTGCGTGAGAACATGAGCAAAAAAATAAAATTATGGGGGAAAACATCTTCAATCAAAAAAGGAGACATTTGCCTGCCTAAAATGTGTTTCTCTACATGAGGAAATGAGAAAGTAAATCATATTGCTATACAAATGGCATTCTCAGCAGCAAGTGTAACTCATGTTGATGTCTACCTTCATTGTTCACTGAGGATGTACAGTTCACACAATGGAGGGGCGCTTTCTCTGTAATGCCAACCACAGCGGAGGAGAGAATGGATGGACTGATAAAAGGATGAGGAAAATGGGCACAGTAAGTGTGAGAGAAATGCACAGCACCTTGTAAAATTAACATCCATCACTCTACTTCCCTACACTTCTCTGCCGCTTTCAGGTGCTGTAAGACGTGCCAACCCCCCCCTCCCCGGCACTCGGACTCTCAGTCCATCCTTCTATCCATCTGTCTTTTCTGAAGCAGTAACGACTATTTGCTCTCTTCTGGTTTGATAGCCTGTGGTTTGATCGGACCTGTCCGGATGGGTTTGGTTGTTGCTAGAGGTGCAGGTTTGTCAGACTCTGCGCGGTCAGATGGTGCCCCCTGGTGATTTGAAGTGATGCTGTCGGTGGGTTTGCCTGCTCCTTCTATGCGGGTTGGCTTGCTGACTGGAGCCTTGAGTTGTTGTTGCTCAGAGAAGAACTTGTGGGTTGACTGTAATACCTCAGCTCTTTGTTTAGCCTGAGAGAGAAAAATGAACATTTAAAGCCAATATAGAAAATAACCTCATATACAACCTCTAAAGTAGAGCTTCTCAAATTTATGTAACTCCAAGGCCCCCCATCACCCACAAAAACATAGGCCCTATGACTGGATATGAATACTGGACTAAGGATAAGTATTAGGATAAATGTATTAGTCAATAGTCACTTGACAGTTAGTGCCATCATAAAACTACACTTGTAGATTTAAAATTCTACACGTCACATTTATTGTCCAACAACAAATAATTTAGCTGAATGTATATTTTAGAGTTATTGCGCTCCTATTTCAATCAAAAATCACCCTATTTACTTTAATGTGATAACAACGCTCACCTTAAGGTCCTGTTCTGCTTTCAGGGCAGCCTGTGTGCCACGTGGTGCCAATGAGGGACCAGAAGGTCCACGTGGAGGATGCTGGGGTCTGGGATGGGGCATCAGACCCCCACTCAAATTAGGGGACATAGGTGGACCCATTGGTGAACGCTGCACCCCTCCAGGAAAGGAGTTTGCATGGTGTGGACGCACCAATGGAGACACCATGTTAGCCTGAGACAACATCTGTTTATGTGCAAGAGACGGGAAATGCTGTTAATGTTCAAGAAGTATGATCAAATTAAGATTTACAACAACTTGCTTTATGCCTGTAGTAACTGACCTGTGGGTTGAACTGTCCTGGGAAGTGCTGGGCAATGCGCATTCCTGCTGAGCCTGACTGGAACTGTTTGGGATACAGCATGCTGCTCATCTTGCTAGACTGACTACTGGGGCTTGTGGAGCTCGCCCTGAGAACACAAACAAGGAAGCTGTCAGAAAACATACAAAATATGGCTGCAACAGATTGGGGATATGCATGCATGCAGTGTGCATAAAGGCCATGACACCAAGCCGACGGTTGGTCCTTACACTACCATTCAAAAGTTTATTCAAAAGTATCAAAGTCTTCACAAAAATATTCAGCAGCAATAAAATATAAATAAATGTTTCTTGACCACCAAATCAGCATATTAGAATTATTTCTAAAATATGAGAGAGAAAAAAATCCTAATTCCAAACTTTTGACCAGTAGTGAATATTCACAGTCCTACCTAAAATACTACCTATGGAGAGCTATCCCCTCATGTAAGCACAGAATGTATATGCTAGTTGCCTGCTGACAGCGGTCTTTGCTGTGCTTTCAAGCCCAACATTTTTGGCCCAGATACAAACGCTGTAAGGCTTTTGTTGCCACTAGGTCTTTGATGATGGTTTGGTGTGTCTGGGCCTTAATCTGGATGGCTTTGCATGCACACACACCTATAAGGGCTAGAAGTGGGGGTAGTGCTTCTGGCGCTGACAGGTGGAGTTCCAGGCTTCATATCCATTCCACCACTGAAGAGCTTCAGATCCATCTCACACATCTACAACAGATAAAAAGCATGCATGTTTCAATATACCTCATGTATGATAAGATTTAGACCAGTGTTTCCCAACCGGGGTGGGTGCCGTCTGTCGAGAGCAGGGGTGCCGTGTAAAAAATCCTTGGTAAAAAAAAAAAAAATCTCTTAGTAGCCCTACTGTGTGTTAGACCTACCTGAAAAACTAAAAAGCAATTTATTTAATTTGAAGGCCTGTCGTTATTTTTTATTTGTGCTATCATTATTAATTTCTTTATTTGTTCTTATTTTATTACTGACTGCTTACTTGTCATTTTTATTCAGTTCAAAGTTTGAAATCAAGTTTGGTGCTACTGCACCAAAATTACCCCACTGTAAAATAAAAAAAACACTGAGTGAGCAAAAATTTGAGAGATAGCTAGTTATAATGGTAATTAAATAATGTTTACATATGTATAAAAGCCTACATTAAAATCGGTCATATAAATTGGTCTCTTCATTAGAAATTAGCCTACTGATTGCCACCATTGATGGACAATTTTTTAATAATATTAAAAATATCTGTATGACATTATATTCTGCAGTTCTTCCCTGTTGTACCGAATATCTATACTTTTCAAATTATCATATCGAAGTTAGAAATGAAATATCGTGACAAAATAAATTTTGTAGGGTGCCACAAGTTTGTTAATTTCCAAACGGTGCCGCGACTAAAAAAAGGTTGGGAAACACCGATTTAGACTACAAGAATATTTCAGTTTCAGAAAAAGATTATATTAGACTAGAACTATGCGTTTAAATCATTTTCCTGAAATGTTAGTTTAATTTGACAAAAAGGACACCTCACATTTAAGCCTAATAAATGTTTATGTAGGTAACACTTTACTTTAAGGTGTCCTTGTTACAGTAATTATATATTTAAGTACAGAGTAATATTAACTAAATGTACATACCATATGGTTAGGATTAGGGTTATTTGCACATAATTATGCATAATTTATTGTTATTATAATAGTAAGTACATGTAACAAGGACACCTTAAAATAAAGTATTACCATTATGTATAAATAATTGGAACTAAAACAGCAGATGTGCTGAGTGAAAACACAAATTGTATGTGTATGTGGCAAAATACAGAGGTTACCCTGTCCACAAAGCAGTGCTGTGCTTATAAAGACTAATTTATTATTAGGAGTAATCAATACCTTGATTACTACCAGTAAATTAAACAAATTAAGTGAAATAAATTAGTTTAAAAAAATAAAAGTAAAAAAAGTAGTAAAAAAAAAAAAAAATTGTAATAAAAACAATGATCAGTGTATGAGAATCTGTGCACAAACCTTATTGGAAGGCTGCATCATGCTGTGTGTATTCTGGCCAAAAAGGCCACGATAGGGCGGATTGCTGGGGGGCAGGCGGTTGAGGCTGGGGGGCGGGACTTGGGGAGGGGTCGGAGGTAAGGACTGAGGCAAAGCCAAGAGTGGCTGACCACCACCAGAGCCGAAGTTGGGCAAAGATAACTGTGAACCTGGCATGGAAACCGTCATCTGCTGTAGGGCAGAGGGCTTTGCGTGTTTGAAATCAAGCTATCTCGTGCTACTGCACCAAAATTACCCCACTGTAAAATAAAAAAAACACTGAGTGAGCAAAAATTTGTGAGATAGCTAGTTATAATGGTAATTACATAATGTTTACATATGTATAAAAGCCTACATTAAAATCGGTCATATAAATTGGTCTCTTCATTAGAAATTAGCCTACTGATTGCCACCATTGATGGACAATTTTTTAATAATATTAAAAATATCTGTATGACATTATATTCTGCAGTTCTTCCCTGTTGTACCGAATATCTATACTTTTCAAATTATCATATCGAAGTTAGAAATGAAATATCGTGACAAAATTAATTTTGTAGGGTGCCACAAGTTTGTTAATTTCCAAACGGTGCCGCGACTAAAAAAAGGTTGGGAAACACCGATTTAGACTACAAGAATATTTCAGTTTCAGAAAAAGATTATATTAGACTAGAACTATGCGTTTAAATCATTTTCCTGAAATGTTAGTTTAATTTGACAAAAAGGACACCTCACATTTAAGCCTAATAAATGTTTATGTAGGTAACACTTTACTTTAAGGTGTCCTTGTTACAGTAATTATATATTTAAGTACAGAGTAATATTAACTAAATGTACATACCATATGGTTAGGATTAGGGTTATTTGCACATAATTATGCATAATTTATTGTTATTATAATAGTAAGTACATGTAACAAGGACACCTTAAAATAAAGTATTACCATTATGTATAAATAATTGGAACTAAAACAGCAGATGTGCTGAGTGAAAACACAAATTGTATGTGTATGTGGCAAAATACAGAGGTTACCCTGTCCACAAAGCAGTGCTGTGCTTATAAAGACTAATTTATTATTAGGAGTAATCAATACCTTGATTACTACCAGTAAATTAAACAAATTAAGTGAAATAAATTAGTTTAAAAAAATAAAAGTAAAAAAAGTAGTAAAAAAAAAAAAAAATTGTAATAAAAACAATGATCAGTGTATGAGAATCTGTGCACAAACCTTATTGGAAGGCTGCATCATGCTGTGTGTATTCTGGCCAAAAAGGCCACGATAGGGCGGATTGCTGGGGGGCAGGCGGTTGAGGCTGGGGGGCGGGACTTGGGGAGGGGTCGGAGGTAAGGACTGAGGCAAAGCCAAGAGTGGCTGACCACCACCAGAGCCGAAGTTGGGCAAAGATAACTGTGAACCTGGCATGGAAACCGTCATCTGCTGTAGGGCAGAGCTGGGACTTTGTGTTGAGCTGTAGTAGCTGCTCTGCTGCTGGACTTGTCCGGAGAACAGGTTTGAGTGCTGACTCATTCCCTGACGCTGCAGATCATCACACCGAGAGAGAGAAAAAAATAAAACTTTAGCAGGCTGAATAAGAGGGCAAAGAAATACTAGGCCACCATCTAGAGAAACTGAATTCTGACCTGCAGTAGATGTGTGTCTATGAGCTGTGATCCTCCCATGCCAGAGGGCTGATTCAGCTGGGGCTCAAACAGGAAGGGGATATGTTGGGTGTTTGAAGTCTGCTGGAAGGCCAGGTTGGACTGAGGCTTACCCAATTCTGGGGGCTGCACTCCAGGGTAACTGTGCAGTGGCGTCCCAGACAGCATCATGGGAGACGTCTGGGAGAGGCTGTTCTGCATGAATGCTTGCTGAGACCTGTGAAAGCACGAGAACACAATAAATGCATTGAGATATTGTGCATTATACAAAAAATTGTTGGATACTACAGATTTCAGCAACTCGGCCTGCAATACCTGTAGGGCTGTATGGAGGAGCTGAAGAGGTCTTGAGGTTGAGACACCGGAGGTGCAGCATTGAGGCTCAGCTGGGCCTGGTGCTGCCCTTGCAGAGGACCGTAAATAGAGATTGGGATCTGCTGCACCGCTGTAGGCTACAGAGACAGAAATCATAACAGGGTATCAACCAAACTCAATAACTTCAGGGAAATGAGACCACTAAAAACATTATTCATATATCATGAGTTGAAAGTCTGATTCTGCTGGGGGGGGACACAGAGTTTTATACCTGGGAGAGTCCAGGCTGAAAGCCTTGCTGCTGGGCTATAGAGGGAGGAGCCAAGCGAGGGTGAGGCGTACTGAACAAGTGGCTGGTGTCCATGTAGAAGGCCGGGATTTGGGCTGCAGAACCTACACAATTAAAAACAGTTGTTGATCACTTAATCAAGGCTAACATGGAGATATAGACCCAAGAAAGAAATGCCATGCAAATTAGAGTCCTACATGCACGCAAAGTCTGGGGTCATTAAGATTTTTTTTTAAACAGGTTAATACTTTTAGCCAATAAGAATGCAATAAATTGATGAATAAAGAGATGTATAATGTTGCAAATAAATTCTATTTCAAATAATTGTTTAACTATTCAAACAATCTTTAAAAAATAAAAATCACAATTTCACAAAAAATATTAAAGCAGCAGAACTGCTTTCAGCATTGCTAAATGTTTGAGCACCAAATCAGCACAGGGTTTGAATTTTGGTGCAGGATTGTGGGAATTGAGCATAATTCTTACTAATTTATGCAGTTTCCACGCTTATAACGCGGGAAATTCCCGCAAATATATCATTGTAAAAGACTAACCAGTGTTATTTTAAAGTTGAATAGATTATTCAGTTTCTGTTGTATTTCTGTACCTGAATATTACTTTTATACCTACCTGAAAAACAAAGCACATTAATTTCAGTTGTATCTTGTTATTGTATTTGTGCCATTGCTTGTCATTGAATTTATTTTAATAAAATTATTTTAAATAAGAGTTTAAGATCAAAGTTCATTTTAAGTATCTTCCTCATAATATAAATATAAAAATCAACATTATAAATTGTAAAAAACAAATACACTGCATGACAAAACATTTTTAGATTAGATAATTGTAGTTAAAAATATCTAAAACAAACAAAAAAAATACCCCATATCCACCCCATAAGGGTGGAACTTTTTCAAAACAAAATTCAGGCCCTGCAGCATATCAGAATAATTTCTGAAGAACACTGAAAACTGGAGTAATGGCTGCTGAAAATCAAGCTGACATCACCGGAATAAATTACTTTTAAAATATATTAAAATAGAAATCAATTCAATTATAATAATTTCACATGACTATTTTTACTGCATTTTTAAATGCAGCCTTGGTGAGCATAAGAAACGTAAAAATAAATAAATAAATAAATAAATAAATTACTGACCCCAAACATCTGAATCGTAGTATATTGAATTAGATGAGCAGAAACATTATTCAAAATGTTATGGACTATAAATAAATTTACCTGCTGCAGACTGGGATACAAACACCTGTGGGGTCTGTTGCTGCTGCTGTTGTGGTAACAGAGAAGGCGCACAGCCCAGCTGGGAGAAGTTAGCACTGGACATTCCTAAACTCTGCAGCTGCTGGGGCTTCACCTTACAGATGTTGGGAGGGTCAGAAGCTGATGTGCTCTTCGTGCTGAGAGAGGATGTTGTGTAGGTTGCAGATCCTGTATAACAGAAGCCCACTATTAAAATTCAGCCCATGTCTGTTTTTACTATCTGTCCCATTTGCGGGGTGTGCTGGTCAAGCATGAATTCTTACCGGACAGGGAGGTGCTGGGGGTGACCGAGGCCACAGGTATCTGAGGCACTGAAGCACTGGAGAAGGAATTGAAGGAGGCACTGGTGATGGGGGATGCAGAGGAGGTGACAGGAGAGCTCTTTTCCACAAGACTAGGCGAGTTCTCCCAAGCCTTGCGCGCAGATTCCATCTGCACGAAAACAGTGAGGAGCAGTTTAAAAGATGCTTCTGGTAGCATTTGCATTCACATACTTGTGTAAAGTACATTTTGACTATTTATGGTGTGATGGTATGCTGATGCTTTTGCTTCGATGATCAGGATTTGTACATTAAAGTTTAAACATAAAATTTTTGATTTTCAAATGAATCATTTAGTGGGTGCGCCTTACTTTAAGTGTGAGGTCAACAGTAGCAGGAGAGACTGTGGCAAGGCTGGAGCTCTGCTGCAGGGCTTCTCTTCGCTGAATAGGCAATGGGTGTGGGAGCGCCACCTGAACCAACAACCAAACAAGTGATCAGAACACACACACAGAAACCCTACACACAAACACACACATATATTGATTACAATACTGAAGCACTCACAGGTGTCACAAGGCTCTTCTCCATCTTGGTCCCTGCAGTGGGGACATTGTCTGCTAACGAGGAAGATGGGATTGTGTAGTCAGTCACTGATTCCTGCAAAATAAACAGACACATTGTCAGAAAATAACTACAACTAAACTATTTTTTTTCTATAAAATAAACACTGCCATTCAAAAGTTTGAGGTTGGTAACATTTAAATGTTTTTAAAAAGTCTCTTACGCTCACCAAGGCTGCATTTATTTGATCAAAATCAGAGTAAAAACAGTAATATTGTGAAATAAGGTAATAAACCATTTAATAAGTGTATTTTAAAATAAGACAATATTGGTGTCATGATGTGTTGGTTTGTATGTTGTGTGTCATTTTAAAAAAAATTATAGTTGTAATTATCTCTGTGCAGCACTTTAGTTCATTCTTTTGGTTTTGAAATTTCTTTACAAATAAATGTTGAGTGGAGTTCAGAATAAGGCAAAGACCAAAAGTAAATCAAGGAAACTTATTTTAAAATGATACACTGACCCAAAAAACAACTCACTGACCCAAAACCTTTGAATAATAGTGTGTTAATGACAATTGAAGCAGAAGGATATTAAATTGCACCTTAGAGCTGCTGGAGTATTCTGCTGATGGAGCAGTGATCATGCCCTCAATGTCTCCACCCAGCTCAGGAACTTTGTCTTTAGTGGGTGAGCTGGAGTCTCTGTCTCGGCTGCCTCTAGTTCCATTTTTATCCAGGCCCTCTCCATCGGACTGACGCACATCTTTGACAGCCTTACGATTCTTGAGCGAACGCTCTTTACCAATGGGACCAGGTTTATATTCCTTGTGCTCTGGAGGGGGGATGTCAGGTAACTGTGGAGGAAAATGTAAGTTTTAAACAATGTACATTATACACCTATACAGAGACGACTGTAAAGTCTGGGGCCACTAGTAAAAATGCTTCTATATTGTCTATCATCATATCAATTTTAAAATTAACTAGGGCTGTGTTTTCAGTGAATTATTCATTCCAGTGTGTTTCGCTTTTAAACACGAGCTCTGTCATATTCTGTGATTGTCTCTGAAGAGCGCGAGCCCTCACACGTGCTGTGTGAAGTACAGACTGAACAGATTGTCAACGCATCCCACCGCTGTATGGTCAGATGAGACGCAAACTATGCTTTCTCGACTGGATAACCAGTCTCGCTAGTAAAGTTTTGATGGATGAAGACTGCAATCACGGTTAAGGCGATTGCGGTGGCATACAGGAGTCGTACAGTACAGTAAGCACACGTGAGTCCGTTATAATAATGCGTGTATGAGTGCTCTTGACGCACTGATCGCACAGTATTTATGCTCAGGCACAGACATTTCCGTACATTCACATTGTTTCCACACACCTTCACGATAATGTTTTGATTTGACATGTGTATGTTGCTGTGTTTAGTTATTCTGAATGGATTCATGTACTGTAGTTGATATATGCAGTCAGCAGGCGGTTGGTTTAGTTTTTTTTTTGGCATCACCATGTGGTCCTGTTCGGTATCGCAACTTGACTTCTCTAAAATGTAAAAAAGCTCTTTGCTGTTGCACTGTACACATACTATACATCATTTTTTTAGCATTCCTTATATCATTTGGTTCTTTGGAGTCTTTTTTTGGAAAGACATCCAAATTTAGCTTGCAGAAAATACAGATTTTTGAGAATTACCTTTCAATCTTTTGGTTTACTTTGCTGGATATAGCAAATGACGACAGCATAAACATTTGAAACAAGATAAATGGTCTATGCTTAATTTCATGAATTGTGCGATTAATCACAGAAAAAGGGTGTGATTAATTAGATAAAAAAAATTTAATCTATTGACAGCCCTAAAATTAGCAGATTTTAGAATTTCTCTTTTGCCTTAACAGCCAATTTAACAGCCCCTTTCTCATTATTCAAACCATAATAAAATCAAGTCCTGTGCCACATCTTGCTAAATATTCTGTATCATTTGAAAATGATATATTATGTGATACAAATGCTAATGCATGTTGGTCCTTTGAGATAAAAGCAGGGACTACCTTCTGAGGTTTGACAGGTCCAGCACGAGGCTGTTTTTGTCTTTGCTCTTTGGGTTCGGGTAGTTTATTGTCAGAGGTTTTCTCTAGCAGGGCGGGCACTCCGTCACTGTCAGTGCTGCCTGCTGAAGAAGGGGCACCAAACTGGATGCTATCCATGCCCAGCTCAAGGCGTTCTGTTCCCGCTTTCACACCCTAAAACACACACCCACAAAAACATCAGCACTTAAAGTTCAGAATATTTAAAATGGTGTTGGTCAGCCAGCTAACAATAGCATGTTGGAAAACAGCCTTGTTTTAATTCTTACTTAAAATTCAAATATCCTCTCACCTCAGGTGTAACGGTCCCAGTAAATGAAGTGAGGGGTTTGTTCCAGGCACTGGCAGAGGGAGGCTGGGGAGGGCTGATAGGTCCAACTATAACAGCAAGACAAATAGGGCAACCATCAGATGGAGAACTGCCACTATATGTTGTTAAAATAATCAAAGAACAAATATGTCAAGAAAAATCTCACTGGCCTGTTCTTTATTAATGTTTACAAGTTTCTTGAACTAAAAATGCAAGTAAACATGGTGAGGAACTTACGTTTCTTGACATCGGAGAGAACAGCGGAGCCAGCCACCTTGTTCTCCCACAGTTCCGTACCCAGGGGGTTGTGTGCCTGACTCTTGGCAGGGAAGTCTACAGGCGCAGGAGCCAGAGGTGCCACAGCGCCCTCAAGAGGCTGGGGTGAGCTAGTGCTCTGGTTGGAGGCAGGCAGGTTGTGCTGCGACACAGAGATAGCTGGCTGTGGTTGAGGCTGCTGAGGGACAGACTGGGTCTGTGGAGCTGGAGCTGATGGTTGCTGCTGTCCTGCTGCCAATCCTTGCTGCTTTTTGGCAAATCGCGGCGGGAGTTTAGAACCACCACCTCCCCTGCCCTTCTCTCCAGAGCCCTTTTTACTCCAATTCTGTACAGCATAAGGACAAACACAGAAGACTTCAAATGAGATATTGGTTTGTGTACCAACTGCCATGATGCAATGCATGCAATACATTGGACTAAAGCCATTCCCTCCTTTCCTCACCTGTGCAGTCTGCTCTTCTTTCTTCCTTCTTTCCTCATCCTGCAAACGTTTCTGCTGTTTCCGTGAAACAACCTCTGTGAACCCGTCATCATTCATGTTAGACTGAGGGTCCTCCAGTGTTGTGACCTCTGGGTGGTCGTCAATGATCACTACACCTGGAAAAGGGTGGAAAGAGGACAAACAAGTGTCAAACAATTTTATTTAGCTTACCAATAGTAAGACTTTATTAAATAATAGTAGTACAATAATATTGAAGCAGTAATTACAAGTAATTTATAGCTAGCCAAAATTTTACTAAATATTACTTAAAGTTACTAAAAATAGTTTGACTATTAAAAATTGTCACTACAAGATGTACCAAAAAAATTTAATATAGACAAAAGTCTTGAACACTAACTGGCATAATTGTTGAGATCGAACTGAGACAAAGCATTTTCTTTTTCTTTGGGTTTTTTGACAGCTTGCTTTCCTTCCTCTTTCCGGCGGCTGGGAGCTGGTTCTTTCCCAGCTTTCTGACCTGTACTGGCCTGAGCGGTCTCTGCATTTTGAGCAGCAGCACTGCAGGAAAAAGAGAAAATATTAGCTCAGTAATAAATTAGAATCTGAGGGTTGTTGGAGGAAAAAACAGCAAGATAAAAGTTGTCAGAGTGGGAGACGGTCTAAAAATACATGTCTATTTGGAGGGCTGTCAAGACCCTGTCAAGGCAATTATCACCTACACAGCTAAATCAAAACGAAGCTCTATAAAAAAAAGAACAAAAAAAAAAAGAACTCAATGTCCTAAGGCTCCGTTATAAATAAACGGCTGAATAATAGAAGTGATCGCCGTGAAATAAAGTTTAGAAAAGCATAAAAGAGAACTGGTTTTTACAGTGTCTGAAGAAAACGTGAGTTGTTCGTTCCTAAAACAACTGTGGACAGCTATGAGGCTGTTCTGTTCTTTGCATGTTGCTATGCATTTGTTAGGGTGTTCTGGTTTCTCTGTGGTCCAAGTGAAAGGGCTCACCCTCATTCTGGTCCTTAGCTATAGCTTGGGTTGCCCTCAAATGGAAGTGTTTTGTTTAAAATGGAAGAATTCTTGCCAGTTTCTACAAGGCATAAATGACTCATTTACTTAATCTTAAATTGGCGTTGCACAAGTTTTGTTCTGAAATTTAATTCGTTGAGAAAGAACAATTTGTCCAATCACACTCCTGGAGGGCCCTACTTGCCCCAGTATACTTATCTGGATGTTTTAAATAATTTTGAAGATCCTGATTACCTGGTTTAGAAGTTTTAATAAACTCCTAAATAAATTGTAATCAATATATGTGTGTGTTTGTGTGTAGGGTTTCTGTGTGTGTGTTCTGATCACTTTTTTTGTTGTTGGTTCAGGTGGTGCTCCCACACCCGTTGCCTATTTAGCGAAGAGAAGCCCTGCAACAGAGCTCCAGCCTTGCCACAGTCTCTCCTGCTACTGTTGACCTCACACTTAAAGTAAGGCGCACCCACTAAATGATTCATTTGAAAATCAAAAATTTAAGCCTTAAAATCTAATTAAGGCTCTACACTAAATTCTACAGGACATTGGCCCTCCCGGAGCAGGATGGGGCACTCGAGGTATAAGCAAAGTAATGCCCGCCTTAAGCCTAAAAGTTTCTTGCATTCCTGAAGACCTTGATTAGCTGGATCAGGTGTGTTTAATTAGGGTTGGAGCTAAACTCTGCAGGACAATGGCCCTCCAGGAGCTGAATTTAACAGCCCTGCTTTAAACCATAACAGACGCTTTTCACCTATAAACTGCTATATTAAAACTCAGACTCTTTGCTTCCTGGGACAACACTGTTCAAGACTCACCCCCTCCGTCCCGATTTGGCTCCAGATCCTCCCCTTCTCTCGCTCTTGCCTCCAGGGTACCCTCGGCCTGTTTTAGGCCCATTATTTCCTCTTCGGTTCTGTCGATCCACAGGCCGCTGGCTAGAGAAGCTCCTCTTGGCTGCCGAGGCTATCTCCCGTTTTGAGATTGCCATACTTTCTGTGGGTGATTTGTTCTGTCCCCCAGAGATCTGTGTGGGCACAGAGGAGGAAGTAGTAGTGATAGCGGTCACAGCTGCTTCAAGCTGCTTCTTGTCCTCTCGCTCTCTCCTTTCGTTGAAGTCGCTACTCTCAGAGGCCGTCTCCCACTCCTCATTGGCCTGGTCAGAAGAGTTCTGATTGGACAAGTCAGGTGATTTGCTGCCAGCAGCAACTACAGTGGTGGCTCCCATTTCAGGAACAACCGCCTCTGTGACAGGAAGTTCAGGGAGAGTCACATCAGGAGTGAGAGAAGGTGCTGTACTGGTATCAGCCACCCCCTCTGGCAAAGTGACCAGTGTTCCAGGAGCTTTAGACAGCGTTGGGGAGACCGATGTAGGTACTGGCACACCAGGAGTAGCTTCCCCAGCAAACACTGCTGCCTCACGTTCTTTAAGCCTCCGAAATCGTGGGGGCTTGTCCTGTCTGGGAGGACGGGCTGCCCTTGGTCTCCGGGGCCTCTCCCGTAAGCTTTGTCCACCCTCTCCAATTTTCTTGTTGTCATATTTGGTGTGCCGTCTTTCAGATGGGGTCCTATCAGTGCGCAAGGTCTCTGCTTCCTCTGGCCGAAAGGTCTCCATGGGCTTCGAGGGCCACTGTGAGGACTCTCTAACAGGGGCCCGACGGAAAGGAACAGATCTGTGGCCACCTCGTTCCCTGCCACCACCTCGTCTGTTGTGCAAGCCTCCCTTGCCTCGCCGTGTGGCCTCACCCTTTAAAAGAAAACCTGGTTTAGGTCGCCCATCCTCATCTCGAGGCCCATGTTTTTCAGAAAGATTTCCGGTTGCAAATCCAGAGGCAGATTTAGAGGAGCGAGATTCCGGCAGCTCACGATGGAGCGGCCTGCTCGGTTTGGAGCTGGGCTCGCGATCTGATGGTCCAGTGTCACTGGCAGATTCTCTGCCTTCACTTTCAGAGTCTGTGTCCGAGCCTCGTCTGCGTCTACGCTTGGGCAAGACTTCAAAATCTGAGCTCTCGCTACGGGTTTCACTCTCCTCTCTGCAGCGGAAACTAGCAGTCCCTGTGGCACTTAATGGCAAGTCTGAGCGTGACCGTGGCTCTCTGTAAGGGTAGTCACCTCGACTCCGACCACGGCTACCTCTGCCCCTCCCACCGTAGCTGCCTCTGTAACTCCGGCCACGGGAATAGTACTCTCCCCGACCACGGCCTTTAAAATCAGAAGGCCAGTCCTTCTCTCGTTCCACATCTCTGTCCCTCTCTCGGTCTCGTTCTCTGTCTCGCTCCCTCTCGTCTCTGCGGTAAGCTCTGGGAGGGAGGTTGGAGTCTTTGCGAGATGGTAGTTTGGGTTCAGAACGTTTATCATTAAATTTTGTCTGGTTGTCTGGTTTATCCTCAGCAACAGTTGTGGCTGTAGGACATACAGTTGCCTGCAGATCTCTGGACTTCGTTCCACCAGTTGATACTCCCACTTCAGGTTCTATCACTATTTTCTTCCCATCACCAGAGGGTTTTGGTCCATCAGATGCTTCTACAGCAGCTGAAGCAGCACCTTTGGGTGCAGCTCCCTCTTTTTTGGATCGCTCCCCTCGTTCGTGCTGTTCTTCTTTCTCTCTTCTCTGTTCCCTCTCTTCCTTCATGTCTCGCAGCACAGGTTTCTTAATCGGTCCAGATCTCCTCACTGGCCGCTCCCCTCCGGGACCCTCTCTCCTTCCAGATCCAGATCCACGGGATCCCCAGCGCATCTCTGACTTCTGCTTGCTGGGTGCAGGTAAAGTGAGCTTGTCGGTTTTGTGCATACCATCATTAGCCACAGGAGGCGTGGAACGGCTGTTGATTACAGACCCTTGTCCAAATGGCTCCTTTCTGGACTTGTCCTCTGGTCTTTCCACAGTATCAGGGAAGTCCAGGGTTTTCTGTACTATGGTAAGTCCTTCAGATCTGGGCTCTTCCAGTTTCAGAGAGTGACTGGAGCCTTGAGAGATACTCCGTTTCAATACAGCCTGTCCAATGGCTTCAACCTCATCTGCACCAGAGAGGTTAGCCTCCTCAGGTTCAAACGAAGGGATGACTGGTGCTCTGTCAGTCTGTAGGAGACCTGGAACCTCTTCCGAAACATGACTAAAAGCAGACAAGGTTTCAGAAGAATCCCTGAAGAAGTCGCTCTTGCCCCTAGACTCTAGTGGGCTATGGTCCTGAGGGTAGACACCTGATAGACCTCTATCCAGCTCCAGACCAGCATCCAATCTATTTTAAGAGAGAAAGGGAAAAGAAAAGGTCTTAATACTTGATCAAGTTATTTCTAACAGTGGGGTAATAACTCTTTATTTTTGATCTAAAACCTCTAAAACAAAGCAGTCTCACCTTGTCTCCTTGCCATCTTCACGCCCTTTTACGGTTGCAGAAGAGGGCAGGGGCTCTGTTGAGGGATATGGGTCAGAACCCCAGACCATTCGAGGCTCATTGGGAACTCCGTGTTCTCTGATTGGTCGGGTCAGATGATCAAAAGTGTCTGATCCAGAGCTGCTGTTGTCTGAGGGCTCTCGTCGTACCAGTTGCTTAGGAGGCATTCTCCCTGATGTTGACATATAAAACAATTATTATGACTTATAACAGACTACAGATATAGAACTCTTTAAAAAAAAAAAAAGGAAACTATTAAATTATCCGAATGTAATGTTTTGGTGTAATGTCTAGTGACTAGAGATGCATTTATAAAATATGGGCTAAACTGAGGAAGTGAAACAGCATTACATTAAAACAACATTAAGTGAAAATGTGTTATTGCATCTTGTAAATGTGTTACAGTGCTTGGTTTTGTTACCAAGTTACTAGGAAGGAAAACAATTTTAGTTTGCAAGACACACCGGGGTGCATAGGAGGCATATCTATTGGTGGCCGCCCAGACATCATACGAGGATCCATGTAAGATTGCATCATTAGCCAGCGTGGGTCAAAGCCCATTGAGGCAAGGTGTTGGTGGTGGGGGCCGAGAGGTTGGTATAAGGATCTGTGCTGAGGGGGAACTGAACCCCCTGAGGGAGAGACTGGACCCCCTCCACCCTGCTGCTGCTGTTGTTGCTGCTGCTGCCACTGTTGTTGTTTAAGCTGTTCCTGGAGAATTTGAGAGAATAAAAATTACATTACAGTAAAGCAGGAATTACTACAAATAATACTAGTTCTCATTTATATCATCCAGGTTCAAACTAACATTGATTCTTAAAGCCAGGACAATGTGTGAGCACCTGTTGTCTAAGGAACCTTGGTGGTAAAGACTTCTGGAACTGTTTTGAGTATCCAGAGGTGACAGAAGGGCGAACAGCAGTCCCAGTGTCTCCCTCATTTTCCAGTTGAGACGGAAGAGGTGCATCTTCACTAACAGAATGATCCAGTCTGGATAAAGACAACGGAGGCTCCTCAACTGAAAGGGATAAAAAAAAATTAAAAAAAATAATATAAAACTAGCACACTGCATTAGAAAAAAAATGTGTACACACCTGGCAGATCCTTTTATCCAAATCGACAAAGAATCAACCATGACCTTGGCATTGCTAGTGCCATGCTCTTTTGTTTGAGCTACACTACATGAAAAGTTCATCCAAATATTCAATATATGCAGCAAACCAGGTGAGCTTAATTTAGGTTGTTGTCGCACTTGCTTTGGTTGGTCCAAACCAGAGTTTTGACACCCTACCACAACTGGACTATTTTCACTTTGTACTTTAGGCTCTGAATTAAGGTAAGTTTAAGTCATTAACAAGGGCATAAACTCCAGCTGAACTATTTGATTTTTTAGATTTACAACCAAATTGTCACCTCAACATACAGGCATTAGCATTTATCTGATACAAAGAATACAAGCTGAAAAATTTTTTGGAGACAAACCTCTGCAAAAATGTAACAAGCATGATGGCAGCACGCAAAAACGCAAATAAATCTCATTTAAGATGCTCTTTTTTCAGATTAACAGTAAACTGTGCCAGAAAATCAAATCAATTGCATCCCAAACTACTTTTTAGTGCACTTTAGAATTTTAATACCTTTATGATTTTTTCCCCCCATCCATTTACATTTACCTCTGGGCTCCTCAGTACTGAAGTAGTCTCTCATTGGTTGTCTCTCCACCCGTCTATGCACCTCCTCTGTTACAGCAGTTTCAACCTTGCTTTGGGGTTCTGGGGCAGTCCTATGGACAGGAGGGCTAGGTTGTCGGGTAACAAATTGTGGCACCTCCTCCACAGTGGGCTCGGTCCTTTCATGGGTTGGCATGGGAGGGCAGGGTTGCTGTGCAGGGGAAGGTGGTGGTTGAGGGTGAGGGGGTGGAGTTTCAGCAGGTTGTTTAGGCACAGTTTCAGTCACTTCCTGGTGATCACAATGAGCTTGTGTAATTGGTTTAGTAGTTTCTGTAGCTGAAGGTCGTCGTTTCTCCTCAAGTTGTTTGAGTTTCTCTTTGCATGCAGCAAGTCTTTGTTCTTCCATGCGGCGTTCCTCCTCCTCACGCCGTCTGCGAGCGCGTTCTACTGCTTCTGAGAGCTCTGACTGCTTCTTCCGTTTCTGTCGCCATGCTTCCGTTTCCTCCTCACCAGCAGGGGGTGCTGTTGTGGGTAACTTTGTAACACGGGGACCACCACTTCCCACAGAGCGTCCAACAGTTTGGCCCTATACACAAAAACACAATGAAGCAAAAATATGGGGGGAAAAAAAAAGCCAACTCTGTCAAATCAGTGATAAGACAACTGACCCTTCGCAAAAACCCACCCTCCTTAGATACTGTTTCCATCTCTGAAAAACCAATGCCGCTCTCACACTACACGTTCTCACGCAGTAAAAAATACATTGCGGAGCAAAGAGAAAACTGACAACGCACTGACAGACAAGACAGAGCAGGTTACTTCTGGTATGAAAAAGTCTCAGCTTTCAAATTGTTAAGAAATTCAAACAATAAATACAGTTTTGTGGATTTTTAATGTGTCGTGACAGATCACTGTAGCCCTAAGTTCAAGCGGCACACTGAACCGATTGTCTCTTCATATTTCCTTAAAGCACAAAATAACCATAAATGAACATCAGAGCATATTTTATTTCAACCACGGAAAGACGTCAATACTAGGCATGGGCCGAATACCGGTTTCAAGGTATACCGTGATTTGAAAAAGTCACGGTTTCAAAACCAAAAATTTTTTCCGTTATACCGTTCTTGCGGTATGCGCTGTTTTTCATGTCTCCTCAAAGACTGAAAGTGTAGGAATCCCTCAGGTTGAGTGTAGGGCTGCAACAACTAATCGATAAAATTGATTATTATCGATTATGAAAATCATCGACAACGATTCTCATTATCGATTAATCGGGTCTGCCCACAGTGCACGTCCAACGGAGTTTACATACTTGTCCAACTTCACCCGGTCGCGTCAAATTAAAGCACCACTGAATTACTTATTTCTATGAACAAAATGCATCTAAAATAGTGGAGGAAACAGAACGAGATGCTGCAGGAGAGTTACGTGATCCAAGCTGCCCAAAACATGAGAATTCTTTATTTTAAGCTTTGACTAATGCATTAGCGTAATGGCTTGCCCTGTCAGGCGCTTTAACAGATGCGTGTGCGTCCTCCGCGCAAATTCTTTATTTTAAGCTTTAAGCTAATGCATTAGCGTAATGGCTTGCCCTGTCAGGCGCTTTAACAGATGCGTGTGCGTCCTCAGCGCAAAAAAACTTTCAGTTAACGGTCATATCCTTATGTATAAATGTCACAAATTCACGCGAGCATTTCCATTTTTGCATAAAGGTCCGTCCTGACAGTCTGTGTTAAATTTTAATCTTTACTGAATGAGCGCCAGCGCGGCGGGCGCGTGCACGCGCGTCAGACAGACGGAAAACAGAGATAATAAATAATCAGCGCAAAAAACATTTATTGTGCTGAAATATCGGTTGTTGAAAGTTAAATTAAGGTTTAAAGGTCAACACGCATTGCGCATATTTTATGAGAGTAGGAACTGTAAGGGGATAAAAGAGTGTAATTGTCTGAATATAAATATCAGATGCTTCAAAACCGCCTTTAACAGGATAAAGAAATGACACTAAGCCCTATTCGGAATCCATGAGTTTTATCACTGAGGTGATAAGTCTATTTATTTTTACAGATGTCCATATGAGAATTACCGTCTGAATCGGGCTATGACGTGACTGGTCAAATGAACGTGTGTTCCTGCAGAACATTACTCTTACATATTGGTTACCACTGAGTTTGTGATTTTATTCGTCTTTATCATCTTTATTATTATTTTAATTTTTAATGCAGAGATTTAAACTATATTCACTATAGACAATGCTTAACAAATTTATTAAAACAAATTTATGTAAGGTTTTTAAAGTCCAGACGTCCATATGAGAAACAATTACCGTCCGAATCGGGCTATGACGTGACTGTGGTCAAATGAACGTGTGTTCCTGCAGAACATTACTCTCACCTATTGGTTACCACCAGGGTTTGGAATTAACACCCCCCAACCCGCCAAATGCGGGTAAAAATCAGCTGTGGCGAATAGTGGCACTGGAGACTAAAAGGTTCCTGATGGTTTCACACTTAATTCGTCACATTAATTCTTTTGCAGTTAACATGCTCTTTTCTTTTTCACCTGTTTTTTTCTGACCCCGCTGAACCAATGAGCAGAACCTGCCTAATAATTCTGCATGCCTTAATAAGGAGTTTTTCATTTCCAGCCTTCATGGACAATTATATATCACTTCTAAATGATTAAATACAAAAATAATATTAGTTATTTAGATTGATGTGGTTTGTAATTGGTAAAATGTGCTTGGAAAAAATATGATCAGAATACAGTGCGTGCATAATTATTAGGCATGTTGATAAGATGTGCTCCCTTTACACAGTGCGCGTGATCGCAAAATCGAAAGTGAACAGCGAGCGCTAATTCAAATGCGATTTCAATACCCCGCATATTGATAGCGGCTCCCTGATGTGCGAAAATTATGGGGTTAAAG